CATGCTGTAATGGTATTTAAATGTCTTAATGATTTAGACCTAAAATATATCTGGCCAGTATATTTGTACCTCGTTCTCATATTCACATTAGGACTACGCGATCATGCAATCTTTTACACATCCCTTGTTGCCGTCTGTCATGTGGACAAAGTTCATTCACATAACGTGGATGCAAACTTTGGAACTGTATTTCTAATGATTTGAAATCTGTGGACAGTGTAAATACAAGAAAAGTGTAAATAGCAGGATAGTGTAGATAGCAGGCGTTGTTTAGCGGAGAAGCTAAAATTCACGAATCTCTCTCATCATGTTAAGGCATTAGAGTATTTGATGCTACAATTGTTACCGGTTTAAATTATCATTGTTAACTTCTCCGCGTAAACGCTGAACTCGCAGTTGGCGTATCAGAAAACGGCGAATTATGCAATTATCGCAGTCTATAAACTTTTACGCCACTAACCTCGTCTGTACGTAGTGTGCGATTTAGTGCCGTTAGTTAACGGCGTAAGATCCTACAGTATATTTATTACCGACCGATAGAAATTACGCCGTTAGTTAACGGCGAGTTCCTGTGATCTTACTGTTCCTGATAAGATCCTCCACAGCGTTTGAGGAGAAGAGTGGCCGCTCAAAGCCCTTACGATTTTTCTCAAACAAACGATCACTTGACCGAGGAATTTTGTCAACTTTTTCATCGCTTGTTTCATGCTTCCGAAGAGCAACAGCTCGGTAAAAACAATTTCTGATTTCCGCTGACAATGACCTCTCTCCTTTTAGGAGGTGTTTTTTCAGACACCATAATTGTGTGTTAAAAATGTTTCCATTACAGGCTTTACACACATAAGTACACCAGAATATACTTATTGAGTTATTTCCTAGCGATTTATGACCAATTTTATAATACTTCGAGACCATTACGCGATGATGATTTCACCATAAACCTAGCGCAAGGAGAGAAGTTTATCGCCATAAGATATTTCGCGGTTATTCAAACAAAACGTGCACTTAATTCGTATCAACATATCTTGATCCGTTTCTGACAATACAGCGGCTAAAAATCGTTAACCTTGTTAGAATATATGCCCGGATATTCCGAGCACCCACACTTAGGTTACTTAACAGTTGTCCCAGATTAGAATACACCACAACGTACTTCTGCTCT